CTGCTCCCTCATTGGCTCAAGGCTGCTTGAGGGGTGATGCTTGACTCTGAGGCCATAGTATTTGCTGCAGTAGGTAGGGCTGGGAACTCTGCCCTCACTGATCTTCTCTGCTGGGTCTTTGCAGATCAGGAAGAACGGACAAAAGCCATTGAGGCCTTCCGGGATGGGAAGAAGGATGTCCTGGTTGCCACTGATGTCGCTTCCAAGGGCCTGGACTTCCCAGCAATCCAGCACGTCATCAACTACGACATGCCAGAGGAGATTGAGAACTATGGTAGGCACTGGGCCTTGTAGGAGGGCTCTCGAGGCCAGCAAGGCTCTGTGCCTGTCTCTGCAGTGTTTTGGGGCAGGGATAGTGTGTCACACTGTGCTCGACCAGGGCTGATCCTGTCCGTGTCTCCACAGTTCACCGCATCGGGCGTACAGGCCGTTCAGGCAACACTGGCATTGCCACCACCTTCATCAACAAGGCCTGTGGTAAGGAGCAGCATGGGGCTGGGGCTGGAGGAGGCAGCTGGGCAGTGACAAGGGGATGTTCTGAGCAAGCAGAATATCTTTGCCTGACCTATATCTCTGCCCCCAGATGAATCGGTGCTGATGGACCTGAAGGCTCTGCTCCTGGAGGCAAAGCAGAAGGTGCCACCTGTGCTCCAGGTGCTGCACTGTGGAGATGAGACCATGCTGGACATTGGAGGTGAGAGACCCCAGGCTGCCACAGGGACCCCTGCGGGGCTGCTGTGAAACCTGGGCTCCAGACAGGACCCTCCAGCTCCCAGTGCCACAGCACTGGGGAGACACTGCTGTAGCCCCTTTGCTCTGGGGTGTGGGCTGCTGTCCTGGCATGGCAGTGTGTTGTCCTGGCCTTGACCCCGTCCCTCCTATTGCAGGTGAGAGGGGCTGTGCCTTCTGTGGTGGCCTGGGCCATCGCATCACCGACTGCCCCAAGCTGGAGGCGATGCAGACCAAGCAAGTCAGCAACATTGGCCGCAAGGACTACCTGGCCCACAGCTCTATGGACTTCTAGCCTGGAAAATGTGCTGCCTCTGGATGGGCCTGGGTTCCCTTTCAGCCCAGGGACCTGTCTTGGACTGCTGTGGCCCCTTTTCCAGAATTTTGGTCACTGGGACTGTTGCCATCTCAGCCTGACAAAGCTCCTGCCCCAGAAGGAAGTGTATGGAGCTGTGCTGCAACAGCCCGTTACATCAGTGGTGTGTTGGGCAAGCAGGTAGCAGTTCCTCAGGGCAAGAGAAAGCTCCAGGTGGGGCAACTGGTCTGGCCAGCTGCCTGCTGCCCCTGCCAGCCCCCTGCAGTGGTGAGGTCAGGGTCTTCTGTTGCTCCACACAAATCTACCCAGTTTCTCTGGGTCCATCTCCCTCACCTGGATTTGTGCATTCTCAGTGGGTGGCTGTTCCTGTCTCCCCAGACATGCTGGGAGGATGCTGCCAGGGTGAGGTGGAGCATGCCGTGGTCATGTCAGGCGCTCCCCAAGGTGCTTCCTGTGCTCTGCCCCCACGTTCTGCCCCACTGCCCTGCTGTGAGGGGGAGGGCGGGCACATGGACACCTCCTATGGCCCAGCCTCTGCCTCCCATCCCACACCCCAAAAAGGGGAAGTCTCTCTGAGAAGGAAGTCTGCCCCATGCCTTTCCTTCGACTGCATCAGTCACATTTTCTCTGCTGCGGGTAGCCCGAGTCCCTTATCCTTGCGCTGGCTGCCAGGGTGAGCTGGGCCCATGGAGAGACCAGTGAAGGACGGGATCCTCTATGTGCAGCACACCAAGTTTGGAAAGGTAAAGGGTTTGGGGTTGGTGGAGGGTTTGCCCTGGTTTGACATGATGCCGGGCCTGGGGCTGGGCCCTCAGCAATCTGGGAAGGGGCGACTGGAGCCAAGGAACTGCCCTTGGGGGAGCCCTGGGCTCAGCAGCCCTCTAAGTTTGGCTTTCCCTTGTGGCTGAGGGGACTCATCTGTGTGGGCATCCACTCTGGCTCGCCCCTGTGTTGGGTCCTTCTTGCTTGGTCACCGCGTGAGTCGCAGTGGAAGAATAAACATGCATTAATGTGGCACAGTTCCAGCGTGTGTGTGTGTGTGTGTGTGTGGGAGTGGGCCCGTGGGGCAGCACGTGGGACACATCCATGTGGCCTCCACTGGCCTAGCCCTGGGGGGCCAGCACCATCTGGCAACACCCTCAAGGCCTGTGCCCTTGGAGGGGGCACTGGGTGCCGCAGCCCTCAGGGCAGGGTATGGGTGACATGGTGAGAGTACCTGGGGTCAGGCCAGCTCCAGGGAGCTGTTGGGTACACAACAGTAGGTCCTGTTGGCACGCTGGCCACGCCGTGGCAAGGTGGCCATGTCCTGTGGGGGTCTCAATGGATGTGTGGGGCTGCAATCACACTGATCTCCCTGCCGAACAAAAGCCAAACCCTGAAAGCACAGCAGGCATCCCTGTGTGTGAGGGGCTGGTGCCCTGCCACGGAGGAGGCAGGTGGGCTGGGGGCGGTGGGTATTTTGGGTGCTTGGCTGCATCTGGTTCCTGCAGGGTGGAGGCTCTGCTGCACTTTTGAGGTATGTGGTGGCAGGCGCCCCCGCTATCCCATGACAGACTGGGACGGTGCTGGTGCTGCAGTCTCCCTTGGGAGGAAGCGGGCTGCTCAGCAGATGTGAGGCTGCCGGCAGGAGCCTGAGCAGCTCAAAATGGCTTTAATTTGCATCAGGGTCTGTCCTGAGAACAGCTTGGGAGCTCAGCTGCAGGTCGGCAGGCCAGCACTTGCAGCGGGGAACAAAGAGCAGGACCTGGTGCTCAGGGAGCCAGGAGTGAGTGTGACTCACCCAGTGAGCCATGCCAAGCTCGCTCGGGGCAAGGCCCACCTCAGCCCAGCTTTGGGCCTGCCCTGCCCCACAGTTCAGGGGTCTGTGCTGGCCCCTGTTCTCTGTGCCCTCCAACAGCATCTGGTGGGTGCAGGCTGGGACTCCCCTATGCCCTTCGTGCCCTGTATGGCTCTTCCCAAGCACTGCTGGCCCTGTGTGGAGGGCAGTGCTGCCAGGTGCAGCGGCCAGCTCTTTCCTAACCAGTTTTTCCCTGCCTTTGCCCTTTCCATGCATTAGAGATCCTGGAGGAAGATGCGAGCCCAGCTGTTTGCCGCCAGCCCGTCCGGTGTGGCCCGCATGGAGAAGTTTGACGTGCGGGATGATGGCACGATCCCAGAGAAGATGTCTCTGCAGCGGTGTGCCCGCCGGGTGATCCGCCTCTCTGACTGCGTCTCTGTGGGCCCAGTGGGCACAGAGAGCTGCCCCAAAGCCACTGCCGCCTTCTACCTCACCACCACGGAGAAGAGCTATGTGCTGGCAGCTGAGCAGCGCGATGAATGGATCACCCAGCTCTGCCAGCTGGCCTTCCAGGTACTAAGAGACCTGCTTGGGTGAGCTGGGAAGCTCCAGGGCAGGCAGGGGATTTGTGCTCTCCCTCCCATCCCAGGTCACACTCATCCCTTTGTTTCAGGGTGCAAAACAGACAGGGCCAAGTAGTGCCAGGACGCAGCCCGGCCCTGCTGTCCCCATGGAGGAGAACTCCCTCTACTCGTCCTGGCAGGACCGTACGTGCAGGGGTGGTGAATAGGGCTGGAGTGGGCTGTAACTCAGTGCTGCAGTGCTGACCCCTGGCTTGTTTGGCTCCCACAGTGACTGAATTCTTGGTGCTGGTGGTCCAGACAGATGCAGCCACCCGCTGTGGGCTGCATGGGCACTACCTGCTCTCGGCCCTTCCCCAGAGCCTGACGTTGAAGGATCCCCAGTCCCACCAGCCCCTGTTCACCTGGCCCTACCCCTTCCTTCGCAAGTTTGGCCAGGATCAGGTGAGTCCCCCTCTTCCTTCTTGGGGCTGTTGCCTGCTGAGGGTGGGTGGCAACCTCTCACCCTCTCCTCTGACCCTGCAGGCTGTCTTCTCCTTCGAGGCTGGCCGCCGCAGTGACTCCGGCGAGGGCACCTTCACCTTCAGCACCCCACGGGCCCCTGAGCTCTGCCGGGCTGTGGCTGCTGCCATTGCCTGCCAGCAGCAGGGCAAGGACACCCCGGACCCCAGACTCTTCTGTGTCTCAGACCCCCAGCTCTTTGTACAGGGCTTTGAGCCCCAGGCCTGGGGGCCTGGGAACGATGATCCACAGCCCAGCCCAGCCCTGGCGGGGACACAGCCTGCCTCCCACCCTCCTAACAACCTCCTCCAATTCACCCCACCAGAGCCAGAGGGCTCGTGCCCCATCGTCTATGCCTCCATCGCCCGGGGCCAGCAGCCCCTCTTTGTGCCAGGGCAGCCAGGCTCTGGTGAGCCCTGGGCCGTGGGGAAGCCACTCCCTGAGCATCTCTACGAGAACATCTTCGCTGCAGAACCACATCCAGCCGGGGCCCAGGAAGAGGAGGAGGAAGGGCAGTGGGAGCTGGGGTGCCGACAGGCCCCTGAGGGCCACAGCAGTGAGGGGGGGCCCATTTATGACAACCGGGCCGCCATGGCACAGAACACCCG